GACTTGGTTAGATTTTAGTTCTTTTATTTCTCCAGAAAGGGTTTCTCTAATAACTTCCACGGTTTTTTCAAGCCTAGCTAGTATCTTTAAAGTCACGTTTCTCAGGCACCCCTGGTCTTTCTGTGACCCCGAGGGTCCTGAGACCACACTGTCCTGCGAGGGTTCCACTCCCCGCTTTACCACTGGTGTGACGTCCCTCAGCGGAGCCGATTTCTAAAAGTTCCGATTTTGTGCTCCGCGGCTCTATCACTTGCCAGAAGCAGCTTACGGAGGCCCCCTCCCCCTCCGTCTATCCTCCCGAATATCCTCTCGGATTCACATTTCCGCACCTCCTACCTTCCAGTAAGTGGTCGCTTCTCTGTTCAGAGTTGTTGCTACTCTCTTCTTTGGTCTCCTGTTGAGTTCGTAGGTGTTCAGAATGGTTTGATCCCTATTCAGCTGAATTCCTGAGACCAGACGAAATCCAGGTCTCCTACTCCTCCGCCATCTTGCTCCGCCCCCTCATTTTCCCAATATTTTTGTTATTTGTACAGTTATCTAGTATAAAATCTAAATCATAATAATGACATTTAAGGCTATTGATTTCCCTTTGAATTAAATATTTACATTTTCCCGACAGGAATTAATTAGGATATTAATTTATTTCAAATCTATGATTAACTGTTTCACAACTTATGTTGGTATAAGACTTTATCCCATAATTCAGGAAAGATGTACAACCTATGAAGTCCATAACAGGATTTTCACTTCAGGTTCTCTCTAGGATACGTTGTTTGTCCCATGTAGGAGATTAGTAAAAGATTGACAAGGCCTGTTTCTCCAGCTTTCTCAGCTGTAAAGTCCCTATCTCTGATCAGAAGGATGTCTTTGTACTTCTTAGTACAGGGAGGGTATTTTTCATGTGGGAGACTGACTCTTGCCTTCAGGGGGACAGAGGAAGTTCTGAGGGACCTTGCAGCAGTGGTTTCCTCATTCCATTCCATGCATAATAACAAATCTGCTGTTGGCATGCATTTGGCGTGGCCTGCTACGGGCCCTACAGAGGAAGTTTGGAGCGCATGTCCCAGCAAGCTCAGGGTCGGTGATCCATGTGCTTCCTGCAGGTCTGACTGTTTCCCAGTGCCATCCACAGAGATGATTCAGAGGTGAAGGTAAAGCACTTCACAGCTTCCTCAGTATAAAATGGGCACTGGAACACAGTAAGGTACTGCTGGTGGGAATGCAAAATGGCACCCCGTACAAAATATTGGCCACTTTCTTATGAGGTTTGTCACAAACGTGACCCATGACCAGCCACACCAACTGTTTGCCACAGAACTACGTGGAGTTACAGCACATGTGCACTCAAAACATGCACACAGATGCTTATAGGAGCTGTCTTTTAATTCCTACACCATGGACGCCACCAAGATTTATTCTTACAGTGAATGGATAATCACTGAAATAGTAATTGCAGACAATAGAAGTGAGAGCCAGAACATGCCTGAACATGTGTGACTCTCACATTCATGGCCCTACATGGGTGAAGCCACCGCCTGAGGCTACACGCCTGAGGCTACACGCTGGATGATCCCATCTGCTCCATATGGAATCTCAAAACCAAGTCCACAGAAAACTGTTTGGTGTGGAAGGACAAGGGTTTGGGCAGACATGAGAATGATCATTTATTTGAGCTGTGGTTCCTGCGTCATCCTGTAACTTGATGCAGATTTGGTCACATGGCTGTAGTTGATCATGTAAACTCATAGAATCTTAGAGTAAGTAAGGTCCAGATTTCCATATTTAAGTTACTTCTGCAAACTTCTGATTTCCATGGTTATTAGATTAAATGTACTAAAATTATATCCAAGAATACTTGTGCCTCAACACTCGGTACTAGGTTCCTTCTTGGCTGTGTGGTTGTCCAAGGAGCACAGAGTATGGATAGACGACAGAGATAGATGTTGCAGGGGGCAGATTCGGTTCCACTAATGAAACTTACCGATTCAAATGTACAACTGGAGGGTCAGGAGCTAAGATGGGATGGGACGTAATGACATCAAGGGAATGAACGCGGGGCCATGGTGAGGGGAGTCTGTGGGGCTTTATATATGTAGTTCGTTTGGTCACTGCCAATTATAGTGAGGATGTCTGACAAAATCACACAACAACCAATACCTATAATGAGGCATCACCACCCTATGCGGAAGCTGTAGTCACTCAGAAAAACAAGACATAAATTCTTACCTGGCATGTGCCAGAGCTGGCATCAAAATATTCTTTTCATAAGAAAATATGTTTTTGAAATATTGGCAATTATGGGTATTTGCATCCCATGTGTTCATAATGATAGGATTCCTCTCTAGTGTCTTTATTATTTGTTTATTTGTTAGTATCGTTATTATTTATTATTTGTATTATTTAATAGAAAATTATCTATCATCTACCTGTAATCTTTTCTTCTGATCTCTATTTGACATCGATTCATCTAGGCCAGGATTTATCCTATTGGCACAAGCCTTTCAGTAATATCAACATAATCTCTGCAATCTCTTCTTAGACCCTTACTATTTAGACCCTAATAATCTCCAGGTCATTTGTTCCATTTCCTTCAGGGTGGCTATTTGTGTGTCATTAACTCCATGCCTGAGTTAGTGATGATCTCTGTGTTGTATCACAGAAAAGTTACCCAGTTTTCTTTAAATCAAGTTCCCCTCCCAGCATTAACAGGGCCCCGTGTGAGGTGCATTTCTCTGGAGAAGGGAGGCACCCTCCAATCTTGGGAATTGTATCTGCAGATCACAGAGTGGGTGCCTTGTGTTAGTGTCTGTGCTCTTGAGGACGTGGGTATCACTTCTAGGATTTTTCAGATGTCGTGGCAGACAATCCCAGCAGCAGCGACCATCAGGATCAAAGTTCTCCAGGTGTGCCTCTGCTGTGCAGGTAGTAGTTTACACGAGGTCAAATACATCAGTGTGGAAACTATAAGAAATATAATTTTTGGATCCATTGGCCTTTCATTGTTATTCTATTTCCACCAGACATGGCATCAATATATAATCTTTCTATGCAATTATGTCTGGGATGACTGTTAATATTGAGTGTATATAAAGACTAGATTTGGGAAGTTTTCTGCACACAATGTGGATTCCAATAATATCATTTTGAAAGAAAGATTAGATTAAAATAAACTGTGATCCATTCATTTGTTCAACATTTATTCTTATGCTCAGAGAGGTGAGGCCATCTATTGACCTGCTTCCAACACAGCTCAGAGACCGAGGGCTGTCCCAAGCCAGACCAACATGCCTTGTGAGTTCATCAAAGAGGTGCCCACAGGTGATCCTGGAAGGTCCAGAAGAGCTTGATTCTGTCCCTGTCCGCTTATAAGGATGGCCTCCATCCCACACCTGCAAACTTCTCCTCAATATCTAGGGTAAAATCCACACTTGGACAGTGGGAGCTCTCTCCTCAGACAAGGCTGAGGTCTCTGGGGAAGGCAGAGCTGTGGTCTGGAGGAATATGAGTTTCTAGGACCTTCTGTGTCTGGTGACATTTTCCCAAAGTTAGGGTCTCAGATGTCAGAGGTGGGACCATGGGGATTGTTGTGAGAGTCATGACAGACAGGGTTTGAGTCTCCTTGTCCCAAGGAGTCCTGTCCCAGATGCCACTGCAGGATTCAGACCCAGGACTGGTGAGGGGCTCACAGACCCTGCACCTCACCAGCACCATCTTTGGATTCTCCATCTCAAACCATAATTTCTGGTGGAATTGAATCCACTGACCCCAGGTGACTGGATGCCGTAAATTGGTTCATAAATCATAGATATACCACATTAACAGCCCATCCAACAAGAGCCACATGTCCATTTTGAGTCAAGTCCAAGAACCAGTTCTTGCAGCTGACTGATCTCAGTGTCATCAAGGTCCTGGTTGTGTATTATACTGTAGAGACATAGTGAGGGGACATCAGTGTGAGCCCAGACCCAAAACTCCCTGCAGCGACATAGGAGGGGTTGGGCTGCAGGAGCACTCAAGTCACCAGGGGCGCTCAGGACACAGGTGGCACTCAGGGCAACCAGTGCTGAGGACACAAGGGGGCAGTCGGGTCACCAGGGAGAACTCAGAACACCAGGGAGAGATAAGGACACTACAGGGTATTCAGGACACACCAGGGACACTCTGGACCCACAGGACAGGGCAAGGCCCAGGAATGGTTGCAAACATCAGTTGTCTTTCCTGTCAGCTAGAAAAATATGTTCTGCATTTGTAGGTTTGTTTTTAAAGGTCATGGTATTTTACTAATATTACATGTGTAACCATTAGGTTTTAAGTTGTAATAATTTTTTAAAATTAAAGTAAATTTTAAATGCTCTCCTGCAATAAAAGATGAAAAGTCTATATTTTGAGGAAATAATAATTCATGAATATTTGCATTCATCCTTCCAGATTTTATGAAAATTTATTGATATTCTTAACTACAGTTATTGGATTTAATATTTAAATATAAATAAATGTATAGGGACACAAATCTATAAAGAATATATAGCCTGTTTATTAAAGATTTTAAAGAATAACCCCATGAATAATTCCTAAATAATAACATTTAATGATGGACCAAATATCAGTAGTTTGGATTATCCATAACTGACCTCAATAACACCAAAGTACTATACAAAAATCAGTTTTTATTTTTCACTTCAAATATGCTCATTTTATTAGACTATTCCTTAGTCAATTCTTTATATCCCTGTGATTTGCAAATGATTATATCAACCTGAGATTCGCATCTGCACTCCTGTTTCTGTAAAGCTCTAGGAATTGTCCCCAGGATGAACAAAAACAGGCTTCCCCCATGTGAGCCCAAGGACCAAGGGACTCTTCCTTCTTGGGTCACCCAGTTTTTTCAGGATCTTAGAGCTCATTATCCTTACCCAGCTCTTTTCCAAAACACACAACATGACACTTCACTCATAGCACTTTGCTTCTCAGACCCTATATGTGTGACATATTTTTTTTCAGTTACCATAAACCACAGGACATACTAGAATCTCATTGTATTAGTCATAGTTATAGTGAGGAAC